TACATTTAAAAATAATTTCATTAATTTAATAATTGGCAATATAGTATTAACAATGGATTACCAGTTAAATCAGCATAAGTACAAATAATTTTGTATACAGAGTATGCTTCTGAATTACTTACACCAATGATACAATGTCACCACGTTGTACTTCAAAATTCCTTACTTTCCAGTGATTCAAGAGTACCACGTCAGATGACTGACTCCCCCCAGGATTCAAAGAAGGCTAGAAAATAAGGAGAAAGAGACACATCTATCATTTGTATTTTTCAATCTTCATGGTTCCTTGCACTTCATAGCTTGAGTGGAGTGCAATAAAACACTTCTAATACAGTACCTTTCAATAAATTGCCGTTCTAAAGTAACTGCAAACGATGAGTTTTCAAAAAGGCTCATCGGGATTCTTCACATATGAGCCAGAAAAAAATAAATTACCAATACTTATTTGAAAGGAAAATGTGCTAGATATTCAAATCTTTACTAAACTCCAATAAAGAGGTATGGAAAGCTTTAAGAAGGATTTAAAAATATGAGGAAGAAGTGAGTCAAAGCTTCCAACACAATATTGAGATAGGATCTAATTCCACAGCGGTACACATCATTGTTCCAAGTGGGCAAATGAGGACATAATCTCAAATGAACCAGAAAAACACCCATATGAAGAACTGAAGGGAGCAAAAACAACCGGTGGTGGGACAATCATAAAAAATGTAGGGATTTCCCACCTTGACCTCCCTTTTCTTGAGAAAGTATGTACCGAGGATCCTGGTCCCAGTTTGAGCCTAATACTTGGCCTCCATCCTAGGATTCAGACAACTCTAGCTAGCTGTGCCTGAGGATTAATGGAGCAAGAACTGAGAAACATTTAAACAAGAATTTATCTGAAGGTCAGGAACCTTATCGGCACAAAAATTTGATTGGGAAACCATGAAGCCAACATATCTGTCATTCGGACAGGGGCATAGACAAAGCTAATGGAAAACAAATCTGACACCTGAGGTGAGAATGGTGAGACAAAAAAATAAGAAAAACTAAGAGAATTTTCTCACTATTGACTCTCTGAAAATGCCCCCATGGGAAGCAGTCATTTCTGTGGTGAGGGGACAGGTGCTAAACTGAGGCTCTCTGCCTTCACTGAGGTGCTGATGACAGCAGCAAGTGGAGACATGACCACGGCAAGTTGGGCAGAAGTGAGGAACACAGTGAACATCAGGCAACAGCCATTCCCTGGAGCAGTAGAGACGTACCCTTTTGTGAAGATTCTTGGAATTATCTGTAGATTTTCTACAAAGCAAGCATGGGTAAAAATGTCAAAATTCTGCATGGAGGCTAATGATGGCCAGACATACTAAATACATACTTATTTTTGACTCCTCAGGTTTTGTGGCCAAAAAAAAATATTGATTATTCTTGGACATGTCAAACATTCCCAGAACTTCTACCAACTTCTGTATGTGATAATGCCTAAATCTCTTAGTTTTGAATTCCCTCCTAGTGATTTCACCTGACTATAGTCACTTGACACAAAATTCAACATGATTACAATGGAATGTCATTTCCTTCCAAATAAAAAGTCTTCTTCCTTATTTTCTTATGTCCTATTTACCCTTTTCCTAGTCAACCAGCTTAAAATGGTAGTTATCTTTTCACTTCGTATCAACCAGTCACAAGCTGAAGGGATTTTTTAAAATCGTAATGTCTTTCACCTATGGCACATCTTTTCTCTCCTCTCTACCGTCATCATATCTCGAGCACCAATCATCACATAATTCACGACATATCCACATGAATCAGTCTCTCGCCTCCAACTCAGAAAGAAACAATTCCATTTCTTCCCAGCTATATGATCTTGAGCAAGTTACTTAACTTTATTATGCCCTTCTTTACTAGTAAAATGATGACAATTAGTAACTATTACCTACTAATTAAATATTAATAATAGCCAATATCAACTGAGTGCTTACCATGTGCACTGTTCCGATAATAATGTCCAGACGTACTAAGTGCTTACCATGTGCAAGACACTGTTTAAGGGTTTTACAAATACAGTTGACACAGGTTTGAACTACACAGGACCATTTATACACAGATTTATTTCAATAAACGTTACACTACTGTGCCTGCCTCTCCTTCCACCTCCTCCACCTCTTCTGCCTCTGCTAGCCCGAGACAGCAAGATCAACCCCTCCTTTTTCTCCTCCTCCTCCACTTACTCAATGTGAAGATGATGAGGATGAAGACCTTGACCTTTATAATGATCTACTCCCACTTAATGAATAGTGTATATATTTTCTTTTCCTTATGATTTTCTAAATGACATTTTCTCTTGTTTTTTTAATCAGAGGTGCCACTATATAATAACATTTTCTCTTCTCTAGGTTACTTCGTTGTAAGAATACAGTACATAAAACATATGAAATGTGTGTTCAACTGTTTATGTTATGAGTAAAGTAGATTTTCAACTGGGGGTAGGGAGTGTCGGTACCCCAACCCTCTCATTGTTCAAGAGTTAACTGTACTAACTTACTTGGTGAGATCATTCATTTAAAGTGCTTACATTAGTTCTTAGTCCACAGTTAACCTCTCAATAACTTCTATTATTGATATGACTACACCACAATTTTATTTATGGGCAGTTTTGTATACTTTCCCAGGTTCCTCCTCAGGCTCTACAGCTAATGAGGAACAGAGTTGACACAGTAGGATAAGTCCAGGGCTTTACCGGGTCATGGTGCTAGGAAATGGAGCTCTTGTCATCACAACAGTAGAGTTAGATTGAAAGTTGAGCTTCCACAAGGGTTCATTCTCTTTCATTCACATTTTTAATCACATTCTCTAACTCCCTCTTCTTCTCTGTCTTTGAGTTCAGTATCTGCAGGTACTCTTCTTTATGTCTTTGTATTCTTCCTCCTGTGTTACTGATGCAGTAAAGGTGGCTTAAGGGGAAACCATCAGGGTTCTAAACCATAAAGAGAAAATCTCCTTCCCATTGCACTTTCACTGTGATCATTGTTTTCCTTGCCATCAGAATAATGAGGAACAAAGGTGATTTAATTATTCCTGACTGAGGCAGGGGCGTGGTGGCTCATGCCTGTAATTCTAGCACTCTGGGAGGCCAAGGCAAGAGGATTGCTTGAGCACAAGAGTTTGAGGTTGCTGTGAGCTAGGCTGACTCCATAGCCCGGGCAACAGAGCAAGACTCTGTCTAAAAAAAAAAAAAAAAAAAAAAATTATTCCTGACTGCTCTTTCTTGGCCTCTTTTACTGGTGTTTTCCAGAAGTTTGTAACTACAACCCATAAAAAGAAATGCATTTTACACCATACCCAGTACACATACGCACAAAAAAATCTGAATAAAATTTTATAATAATTAACTTTACTACATACACTGTAATATTTTCTATTCACTCCTAATCTATGTTTTTAAAATTCTGCCTATAACCAACCATATTGATTTCATATCCACTATATTGATTTTGCAACCTACTAATGGGTTGCAATCTATGGTGTTAAAATCATGGCTTTAACATGATTTTTCTTCAACCACTATCCTATAAAAAGTTGTTTTTTCCCAGAATTCTACTTGCAGGTCTTTCATCTGTCTTTAAATTCCTTCTCTAGACAATCTCATCCATATTCTCAGTTTCAAATGCCATCCATATACCCATGACTCCTACATACACAGGCCCAAATCATCTCCTCCTTCTCTATACGCAATTCACAGCACTTCATATGACAACACTTAACATACTGCAATGTGATTTTTGTTTACATGTCTATATTTGCAACTAAGCAGGAAGGACTTTTTATCCATTATTGTTAATACCCTCATTAAATTCATACTCCAAAACCAACTGCTTTTGTGAGCTTCAAGCACATATTTCCAACCAGTTACTGAGCACCACATCTGATCGGGTCATTCCCTTGTTTAAAATCCTTATTAGCTTCCTACCACCTTTACTCTAAAGACTGTCCTTAAGATAAAAATAAAAACACATGATCTTCAGGACCCTCTCAATACCCACTTATATAGTTCTGCTAGTTAAACTCAACAAGT